TCCTTGTTCATTCAATTTATTTCTTATTAAAAATTTAGTGGTTCACTCAGTGAGAGTATATGTGGTAAATTCTCTCAAGCTTTGATTGCTTTAAAGTGTCTCCATTTTACCCTTACTCTTGAATATGCAAAACAAAGTATCAGCAGATGTTCACTTAAAATAGATTATTATAACTATAAGATGGTTTATGGAAGCCTTTTTGTAACCACAAAAAAATATGTAGAGAAGATTTACAAAGTAAATCAGAAAGGAATCAAAGCATGTCACTACACAAAAATTGATGAAACATAAATTAAGACAGCAAGAGAGGAAAAGAGGGATCAAAAAGCAACAAAACAGAAAATGATTAGTAAAATGTTGATAGTAAGTCCTTTCCTATCAATAATTACTTTAAATGTAAATGAATTAAATCCCCCAATCAAAAGACATAGAGTGGCTGAATGAATTTTTTTTAAACCCAAGACTCAACTATGTGCAGTCTATACGAGAATCACTTTAGATTTAAAACCACGCAGACTGAAAAGATGGAAAAAGATTCTCTATACGAATGAAAACCAAAAGAGAAAAGTAGTGGTCATACTTATATCAAACAAAATAGACTTTAATTCAGAAACTGTCAAAAGAGTCAAAGAAAGACTATATATATATATATAATGATAAAAGCTTCATTTCACCAAGAAGATAAAGAATTATAAAATATAATATATATGTAACAAACATTAGAGCAACCAAATATATGAGGCAAACATTGACAAAACTGAAAGATAAAATAGACAGTATCACAGTTCTAATAGGGGATTTCAATACCCCACTTTCAATAATGAATAGAACATACAGACAGAAAATTATTAAAGATGCAAAGGACTTGAACAACACTGTAGACCAAGTGAACCTAAGAAACATATACAGGACATTCCACTGAACAGCAACAGAATAAATCTTCTTCTCAAGTGTGCACAAAACATTCTCCAGGACTGATATATATTAGGGCAAAAACAAGTCTAAAAAACTTAAGAGGATTGAAATAATACCAAGCATATTTTCCAACTACAATGGAATGAAACTAGAAATTAATGTCAGAAGAAAACTGAAAAATTCACAAATCTATGGGAATTAAACAACACCTTCTTGAACAACCAGTGATGAGACAAAGAAGAAGTCAAAAGGAAAATTAGAAAATACCTTAAAACAAACAAAAATTAAAACACAACATATCAAATATTATGTGATGCAGCAAAAACAGTATTAAGAAGGAAGTTTGTAGGGATAAATACTTACTTTGAAGAAGAAGAAAGATTGACATTTTGGGCTAGATGATGAGGACTGAAGTCTGACATTTTTTTCCCTCTTGCGCAATTCCTTTCTAAGAGACATGATGAGTCATACCTACAAATGATTAAATCTCATTAAACAAGTTTAAGCCAGTATAATGTGCCTTACTTTCCAACCTGATTCCAGTATAGCGTCACATGACAGATGGAAGACCCCTTATCTTAGCTCAAGCAACCTAGCAGATTTCCTATCTTAACTCAATCATTTCTTTCTGCAGACTTTAGTCAAAGCTTAACTTATTTCAACAAAGTGCTAACTAAAGAATCCCTACAACCAGCCTATAACTTGTAAGCCCCTGCTTCAAAATGTTCTGCCTCTTCTGGCCAACCCAATGTATACTTTCCATGTATTGATGTATGGTTTTACCTGTAACTCCTGTCGCCATGGATATATAAATCCAAACTGTAATCCGGCCTCCTTGGGAACATTTTCTCAAGACTTCTTGAGATCATATTCTCCAGACCATGGTTTCCCATATTTGGCACAGAATAAACCTCTTTAAATTATGTTATAGAGTTGTAGCTCTTTTCCCCATTAATAATAATTACAATAAAATTTAAGAAAAAAGAAATCTCTCAAATAAACAACCTAACTTTACACCTCAAGGAATAGAAAAAGAAGAACAAACTAAGCTCAAAGTTAGCAGAAGGAAGGCAATAAATATAATTAGAGAAGAAATACAGGAAAGAATTAATAGATGAATAATAGAAAAAGAATCAATAAAATTAAGAGGTGATGATTTGAAAAGATCAACAAAATTGAAAACTGAAGGTAAACAAAATATTTTACCCTCAAATATATTTCTTTGATATATTTTAAGATGGCTGTTCAGTGAGCCAGAAAACAGAAGTAGCCCTGCAAAGCTGTCCTTTGCAGGGGAATTTGCATCTGTAGAGAATTTGCATTAATGCAGCTAGGCTTCCCTTGTTCATATCTAGGAAAGAGTAACTGAGAGTCTGACACCTTTAAAGGTCTAAAAGAAACATTCGCTATTTATTCTCTCTGAGGGCTGCTGCCTATAATGTTTCATCTATATAACAAGACCACTTTTAGTAGCTAAATCTCCTTTTCTTTCTTTCCCATAATCTATTTGCCATTAAAACCTAATTTACCACCATAATTTGTTTTTAGCCATGCTCTGAGCCCACATTCTTTCTATATCCTGGAGATGGTATATAAGCTTCTGCACCCCATTAAGGGGTTGGATCTTCGTTTTGAAGGCTCCCATGTATACACATTGTATAAATTTATATGCCTTTTCTCTTCTTAATCTGCCAGATGTCAGTGATTTTCAGCAAACCTTCAGAGGATCAAAGTAATCTAACTAAAACCCCTAGTTAGATTAACTAAGTGTCTTAGTCTGTTTGTGCTGCTATAATAAAATATCTTACTGGGAAACTTATAAAGAACAAAAATTTATTTCTCACAGTTCCAGAGGCTGAGCAATCCAATGTGAAGGCACTGACACTGGTGTCTGGTGAGGGCTGCTTTCTGCTTCCAGGATGATGCTTTCTAGCTGTGTCCTTATGTGGTGGAAAGGGGAAGGGCGAGGGAGCACTTTCTTAATCTTTAAGTCCTTTTTTAAGGATGTTAATTACATTTATGGGGCTGGGGTCCTCATGACTTAGTCCCCACCCAAAGACCACATCTGTTGCATTGGAAATTTAAGTTTTAACATGAATTTTAGAAGTGACAACATCATTCAATCCATACCATTCCACCCTTGCCCCTCTCCAAATTCATGTACTTCTTACATGCAAATTACATTAATTCCCTCCTGGTAGCCCCTGGCCATTGGATATCATCTTGTTAGACCTTGGCAGCTTACCAGCTGGTGTGACCCAAATCATTTTTTCAGAGTGGTCTGAACCTTTAGTAATCAGTTTCAGTCCAGAATTGCTAGAAATATATATTTACAGATACAGTGGGGTGAAAGAGTACCAGTTGGCATCCAAGTGGATAATTTGGATTCCACATGTATTCTCCTATGTTTCCATTAAGCAAACTTCCTCTTCTTCTCATCCTGTTCATAGTTAATTACCCTGGACAATATGATAACTCCTCTTCTTGCCTGCTAGTCTCTGGAAACAAGGAGTCCAGAACACCTAGCAGCAGCTGAAACTTGTAGTTAAATGGAATGCTTACTTTGTTCGTTGGCAGGAGTATACTCCGTATTATCAATGGATGCTTCATATATTTTGAAGTTGTATTATTAGGTGTATACATCTTTAGGATTGTTATTTCTTCATGGTAAGTTAACCTTTTACCAATGATCAATCTTTTTCTTATATCACTTTTTGTCTTGAAGCCCAATTTGTATATTAATATGACTACTTCAGTTTTCTAATGATTATTGTTTGCCTTGATATCTTTTCCTTTTTAAACCTATTATAATCTATAAATTTAAAGCATGTCTTGTGTAAACAGCATTCAGTTGGTTCTTGACTTTTTAATCCAGTCTGACAATGACTGACTATTAATTGGAATTTTCCCCCATGTACATCTAACACAATTATTGGATTTGGGTATAATCCATCATCTTATTATTTGTTTTCTATGTGTACCATTAGATTATTTTTACTTAGATTTGACTTTTCTGCCTTTTATTTTTTAAGAATTTTGTTCCAGATATTGTGTATGGAAGAGTAGAGATTGAAGTAAAAACTGGCCTCTTATGATTCTCTTATGGTTTTATATGAAGTATAATATAGTTATGGTTTTAATGGTTTTAATATGGTTATGGTTTTATATGAAGTATAATGACTGGTATCTTAATTAAAATTTTTAATTCTTCTTGTTTCCCCTTCAAAATATGATATTTCTAATCTGCTTTGAAACTCACTGTAATTGCCTCAGTTATCTCACAAGAGGGATGCAACAAAGTTCTTATAGTGAAGGAATTCAATATCAATTAATCATTGTACATGTGTGTCCATATATTCTCTATCAATGATACATATTTATTTAATTTTCTTTACTGTGCTACTTGTTGAAGTATAATATTGCTTTCTTTGTAGTCCAGAGAATGAAATCTGTTCCCTTGGTTTTGTGATGAGGGCAAAGTCCTGATCATTTAGAGTCCTTTGCATATTGTGTTGAGGTGAGACTGGGCTACAGCTTAATCCATTGGAAACTTTTCCTTACATATTGTATTTGACCTTATTGTAGATATTGACAGTATCCATTTTCTTCTTGAAATAAAATTTATCCCTTTCCTTTGATGACACCGTAATTATCTAATTTCTCCCTACTGACTGGCCTCTTAATTAGAATTTTTAATTCTTCTTGTTTTCCCTTGCAAAATATGAAATTTTTAATCTGCTTTGAAACTCACTGTAATTGCCTCAGTTATCTCAAAAGAGGGATGCAATAAAGTTCTTATGGGGAAGGAATTCAATACCAGTTAATCATTGTACATGTGTGTCTACATATTCTTTATCAATGATGAACATTTATTCAATTTTCTTTACTGTACTACTTGCTGAAAATACAAAAAACCTTAAGATATCACTTCTGCCCTTAAGAAGCTCTTATAAAATTAAATAAATAATGATATCATTGTAATTCTGAAAGAATTCTGAGACCCCTGCACTAAGCTATGAATTATAGTTGCCTTCCTCTCTGAAGATTTTAAACATTGTTTTCACCTTCTCTTTTCATTTTCTCAGGAATTTGTTTTAAGGACTTAACATTCTTTAAGTACATGTGTATGGGAACATATGATGAGAGAGATGGAAGAGAAGTGAGAGATAAGGTAAGAGGGAAGGAATGAGGGTCTCAAGGCATGTGGCTCTCTGCTTCATTTGTTTGCTATAAATAAATATAAATGAAATTAAAGTACATTATAGTATTTTAACTTTCTAAAGTGTTCTTAGAATTTCATCCAATTTTCTTTTCACAACATTCCATTGTAATGGTGGAGAACCTAGCTCAGGATGTGTCCATGTACTTTCTAGACACCTCCATCCTTCAGCTTAAAGCACATTTCTTCTACATTATTAATTTGATTATAGCAACAGTCTTCTGAGTCTGTTGCTCATAAAAAGGAAGAAGTGAAATCAACCATGTTTGGAAGATAAAAAACCCCAGCTGAGTTTGAATCCCTGTTCATCTACTTGCTAGCTGTGCCACTTCCACTTAATGTCCATGAGTAGTTTGTCTGTTAAATATGAATACGAGTTCTTCCTGCTAGAATTTTGTGCTCTAACTCTTACTTTCTAAATGTTGGTTCATATTCTCCTTCCTCTGAATTTATGTTTATCTCAGGAGATCAGTTCTTACAAAAACAGAAATTTTTTCATGACAAGTGGAACTTTTCCCAAACAAAGACAATAATTTCAGATCTGTAATTTACCTGCAGATTGGCTTGGCACTGCACTTAGGAAGGCAGATGCTAGCTACATCTTGCCTTCTACTAGATTGGTGTGATTGCATCCCTTTCTTTCACATGAAAAAATGTCCTAGGGAACATATTATCCTGTGCAAAATTTATTTTTAATAATATAACACATCAAAACACTCCAGATAGAATAATCTCCTGAAAAATAGAAAAAAGTAGGACCTGAAAGCTATTATATAGCATGTGTATAGCTGCACAATTTCCAATCTGTAAGAGTTCAAATGTAACAATTAATGTCACACCCCACTTCATTCAGAGTAGTGTAAAGCTTATCTCCTTCAGGCAATAATAATCAGGACTCAATAAAAGATGTTGGAGCAGATGGAAGTACTACGGTTTTCAATTAAACTCTTCTTTGTTAAACTTTGTATTTTTTCATGATTTATTGAACCAACTTCAGCTCTCCATGACCTATACAACTGGTATTTGTGTGTAGCACAACCCTGTAAGTCTGGTTACTTTCTAAGGTAGAGAAAGGCTTTGTCTAAATGGAGAATCTCATCGTTTCCTAATGAAATAGTTGTAGATGGCATTTCCTTCAGTAGCAAGAACAAAAAGAGAAGGAGAAAAAAGCAATTGATATTTATTGAGCATTGGGAATGTCTGGCAGGGATTTTCGAGTAATTCTACTCTTGGATATATTGCTACATTTAATCCTTATAGTCATATTATGAGGAAGAGGTTGTTTATTTGCTCACCATTTTGTTGATGAGAAAATTGAAACTGTGAGAGTTTGAATCAGAAAACAGATGTGAAAAGGCAGAAAGACCTTCCTAGATGCTCATAAAACCATATCTCCAAGGGAAAGGTAGGAGAGGTTTTATAAATGAGAATGTGGAGAATGTTATGAATAAAAACATCTTCTTTTATTAAAAAGTAGCATGTGTCTATGTATTAATATACATGAGTCAAAGGAATTAATCTAGAGCTGGAACCCATTTACTAAGTGAAGTATCTCAAGAATGGAAAAACAAGCACCACATGTACTCACCAGCAAATTGGCATTAATGGATCAATACCTAAGTGGGGATATAGGAATAACATATATCAGGTGTCGGGCAGGTGGGAGGGGGGAGGAGAGGATGGGTATATGCAAACATAGTGAGTGAGATGTGCAACGTTTGGGGGATGGTCATGCTTGGAGCTCTGACTCGAGGGGGTAGGGGGGGCATGGGCAATATACATAACCTTAACATTTGTACCCCCATAATATGCTGAAATAAAAAAAATAATAAAAAATTATAGGAGACCATTTTACATGTGAATAGCATCACTATGTGAAGCACTTAACAAATATGCATGTGGGTATTACACAGCCAGATACTGTGCTAGGCACTGATAACTTAGTGGTAGAAAACATAGGCTTCACCTGTGCTTTCATAGAAGAGTTGAATACAAATATGCGTGAGATTTTAATGAATGCTTACCCATTGTTCACTTAAAATGAGAGCTTAGTCTTCTTGACTAGTCTTAGGAGATTAACAAGGCAGAAAGGATGGGACTAGTATGAGATGTGCAAAGAACTCTAAGCAACAAGTGGGAAAAAAGCTGGTCTACCTCCCAAATAAGTCCTAGATCCTGAAAAGGAATATGGAAAGAATAATGGAAGGGGCAGGGGTTTTCGGTTATCTTATTAAGAAGAATGGGGATTAAAAGTGTTTAGTATTCCCCAGAAAGTAGAATTTCTCTCTATATAACTGTTATTGCTTCAGAAAAATTACTGTTCTTCTTGGACTTTTACTAAGGCAGTCATAGCTACCCAATAAGTGACACTTGCTAACACAATATTTCTATTTTTTTCATGACCAAGGGGCAATTGTCTTAAAAATAGCATATTTGATATGCCACTCTCTATATAAAGATTCAACAATTGTGTGTTACAACATGAATTATTCACATATAATAAGTTGAGTTAAGTCAGAAACAACTTTATAATCCATAGTTTAAGTTTAATGTTAATGTCTTTTGTTTCCAGAATTTAAAAATAGGTTGGTTATATTAAGCTTTACTACAACGCTATAGTAACCAAAATAGCATGGTATTAGCACAAAAATAGAAACAGACCAATGGAACAGAACAGAGAATCCAGATATTAAACTATCCACACATTGCCACATGATCTTTGACAATGCAGAGAATAATATACATAGGGGAAAAGAATCCCAATTCAATAAATGGTGTTGGGAAAATTAGATAGCCACATATGGAAGATTGAAACAGGATTCCCATCTCTCACTACTCACAAAAATTAATTCAAGATGGATAACAGATTTAAATCTAAGGCATTAAACCATAAAAATTTTAGAAGAAAATATTGGAAAAACTCTTCTAGATATTGGCCTAGGCAAATAATTTGTAAAGAAGACCCAAAAGGCAATCATAGCAACAATGAAAATAAATAAATGGGACCCAATCAAATAAAAAAGCTTCTGCACAGCCAAGGAAAAAACAGAGCAAATAGACAACCTACAGAATAGGAGAAAATATTTGCATGCTATACATATAACAAAGGACTAATAACCAGAATCTACAAAGAACTTAAGAAAACCAGCAAGAAAAATTACACAACCCCATTAAAAAGCAAAAGACATAACAGAAGCTTTTCAAAAGAAGATAAACTAATGACTAATAAACATATGAAAAAATGCTCAACATCACTAATGATCAAAGAGATGCAAATCAAAACCACAAAGAGACATTATCTAAGCCCAGTGAGAATGACTTTTATCAAAAAGTTCCAAAACAATAGATGGTGGTGTGAATGCAGAAAGAAAGGAACACTTACACACTGTTGGTGGGACTGCAAACTAGTACAACCTCTATGGAAAATAGTTGGAGATTCCTCAAAGAACTAAAAGTAGACCTACCATCTGATCTAGCAATCCCACTACTGAGTATTTATCCAAAGGGGAAAAATCATTTTATCACAAAGACACTTTTTATTGCAGCACAATTCACAATTGCAAATATGTGGAATCAATCAAAGTGCCCATCATTTCATGAGTGGATTAATAAAATGTGGTATATGTACATCATGGAGTACTAGTAAGCCATAAAAAATGAATTCATACCTTTCACAACAATCTGGATGTAACTGGAGACCATCCTCCTAAGTGAAGTATTGTAAGAATGGAAAAACAAACACCATGTATGTACTCACTTTTAAATTGGAACTTACTGATCAACACTCATGTGCGCATAGTAAAACACAATGGAAATCATGCAGGTAGGAGAGACGAGGAGTGGTGGGTGAAATCATACCTAACAGGCAAAATGTATATTATCTGGTTGATGGGTACACCTATGACTTTGACTCAAGCAGCACAAAAGCAATCCATGTAACCAAAACATTTTCCCCCTATAATATTCTGAAATACATACATACATACATAATAAACTACAAAAAAGATACAATGAAAGATGTGAACTCAGTAGTATACATGATGTAAGGCAAGAGTTTATAACTTAATATAGAAATTAATGTATCGTCTGAGAAAATCATATCAAAAGCAAGAAAGCAAGACATAATAAAGGAAAATGAAATCAGGGATTAGCCAGTGTGTTTGGGCAAAATATAAAGAAATATTAAAAGACATTATGAGACTGTTGATTTCATCTAGTGAGTAGAAATGCTGGAAAGATTCAAATATCACATAAAGGATCAAAGGGTTGGAAAAAAGGATCTATGGGGAAATTTCAATTAGATATATAATTAGGGAAAAGCTCTTATTACCACATGGCAGAGAACACAGATTTGAATAGAATAGTCACATAACTCCTGAAGTAGAACTTTATAGTAAAATAATAGCCTGCTCTGGACATATGTTACAGTGTGTGTGTAGGGTGTGTGTGTGTGTAATTTCTATCTATATATGGGAACTTACTCATTTAATAAAGTATTATGAGGGTAATATGTTATTAGCAAAGCACTTTGAAAAATTAAAATAAAATAAATTTTCTGCTTGTAAAATAGTCAAATGATGGAATGGATTACAGAAGATGGTGGTTATGAAGCCATGAGTAGGATGGAATTATTTCAGTCTTGATTCTAGAAAGAAAAGAAGATAACATGATCTCTTGTCCCTCCAAGACCTGAAATTTTGATTTGTTAGGTTTTTGAGAAGTATCATGTTTAATTCAGTGGCCTATATTCTAATCTAGGGATTTCAAATGTACATCTTATTTTGCTACTTTGGCTATCTTATATAATTGTTTCTAAAGAACACTCCCCCCTTTATCTATCTGCAAAATTCTATGGAGTGAAGGCTAGGATAAAAGTATAATCTACTTAAGAGATAAAAATGTGCAGTTCTTTATTATTGCTGTTAAAAAAGTCCATGAATTATGAAAGGATT